GAACATTTATGTTACAGCAGCAGAGAAGATTCAATCTATGTATTAGCTAGAATAAAAAGTTATGAGACAAGTGGATAATTAATAGTCTATTTCTACACAATTTTTAATCAGAGTCGAAATGTTTATCTTTTTAACCCAAATGGTAATGGGTTAGGTACAACACAATGAATTTGAATTCATGTTTTATCTCAGTGAAATTTACCTGCGCCTTATACCATATACTACATCTGGAGCATGCATATGACCCTAAACTTCCAAAATGCATGGTGAATATAATATAGACTAGAATTTTCTTATTTTCGTCCTATGATATCTCTAACATTTACAAATAAAAATATCAAGAAGCTAGACCAAATCTTTCTGAAACAATGAAAATATCAGTTTGCTCAAATTTCATCACTCTCATGTTCATAGGCCCAGGTTAAAGTATTAGTAAGTCTAATATTATATGCAAAAGTTTGAAAAACACTTTGAAGAATGTTTAAATAAGTTTATTCATTACTTCAGAGAATACTTATCCCATTGAGACTTTCGACTAGTATCCCCTAGTCTTTTATATAATATATAAACCAGAGAGATGAACTTACATAGAACCACTTTGAAGAAGATTTTGGACAGATTTGGCAATACATGTACAATTTGATACCAGTTAGCAGGGGTTTCAATAAATATTTTTTCAACAGGCCCTTGGTAATCTCAACAGGCTGAAATTGTTTCAACCATTCGCCGCTCGCTTCGCTCGCAATCTCCTTCATATATGGAGGTGCTCGACTCAATATATTGAAATAAAAAGCATATATACAGGGTGTCTCAATGCAAAATCATAAAATCAGTATTTTCCTGCCATATGCAAACTGTATATGAGCTATTGATCTCTTTAATGTTCATTACTTTATGCTTTTTCTAATGTTGCCCCTTGTGCTTCCTCACTGTGATGTAAAAGGATAAAATCAGTATTTTCCTGTCACTTTAATGCAAACTGTATATGAGCAATTGATCTATTTGACTTGTTCATTACATTATGTATTTTTAAATGTTGCCTCGTATGTTTCTTCACTGTGATGTAAAATGATAAAATCAGTATTTTCCTGTCACTAAAATGCAAACTGTATATGAGCGATTGATCTTAATAAAGCATATCAATACATAATTGATTGTTAATTAATTTTATTCCTTATTACTTTGTTTTTCAGTGTTGCCCCTTGTTCCTCCTCACTCTGATGTTAATTAATAAACTCAATATTCCTTTCTGACACAATTATCAATCTCAATGAAATATTGAAGATCAACATTCAATAGTTTGATATGTATTTTTGATTTTTTGACTTGTAATATTTTATTTGTTTTCAAATGTTGAGATGATGTAAGATATTGCCAAGAAGATCAATTGTATTAATTGAACTGTTTGTTTTCAAGTTCATGTGTAATTTCAAGTTTATGTGTAGTATCCATTGAAAGTTGGCAGGACAGTGATAAAGGTTTTTGCTACTGACCCAACCAGAACAACGGCAACGCCAAAGCGTAGCGAATCCCATCGAACAGAAATGGCTGGCATTTTTACAAACGAAGCGCAAATATCATAAAACAACACACCAGAAAGGCCACCATTTTCAAAATGGTTGCTCACTAGCCAAGTTGTCATCAGAAGAAATAATATGCTTTTAAGTAGCCACCTCTAAAATTTTTGAAAAATCGCACATGTAATTGTAAAATAACACACATAAAAATGGTGGCCATTTTTCAATATGGCCGACTACTCCCTAAAGTTTTATTAGACAATGTGCCATGCTTCAAGTATTCGCACATATCAAATCTACCAAAAGAGTCATAGGACAGTGTGCCATACTTATAGTATTCACATACCAAATATGAACAAAATCGCTCCACTTCTTTTCAAGTTATAGTAAAATATGTTAAAATGGCAGCCATTTTTCAATTTTTTTTTCAAAATGGCCGCCTTCTACCAAAAGTGTCATAGGACAGTGTGCCATGCTTATAGTATTCACATACCAAATATGAACAAAGTCGCTCCACTACTTTTCGAGTTATAGTAAAATACGTTAAAATTTTGAAAAATGGCCGCCTTCTACCAAAAGTGTCTTTAGACAGTGTGCAATGCTTATAGTATTCACATACCAAATATGAACAAAATCGCTCTACTACTTTTTGAGTTACAGCAAAAATCGTAAAATGACGAGTAAAGGCCGCCATTTTTCAAGATGGCTGCCATGTGCTTCTTTAATATCTACATTTGTAGCATTATTAATGTCCTTTATAATTTTTTTACATTTAAAACATATTGCTATTACAGTTTTACATATTGCACCTAAATTACTGTAAAATCGTCACTAAAATGGCTGCCATTTTAAAAATGAGCGGCCATTTTGAAAATCGGCTTTCGAGCAGAATTCTATTCCCATAGGGTATATTTGAACCGGCGTAACTGGGATTTGAGGTGGCGTTTTCGCCGCTCGCGGGCGGTTATTGAAACGCCAGAGTTAGGAGAATTCGTACCTAGACTGCGAGATTTTTAAATATTTCAACTGAAGTGGGGCACCTGTGAATATTATATTGGACTTACTTATACTATACTTTGACCTGGGCCTATGCTCATGCTGTACCTTATCAGGCCCGTAGCAAGGCCCCTCTTTCAAAATTATGCAGTTTTCACCAGTTCGAGCACCTTTTGCATGAAATTTTGGCCAAAACTGTCAAAAAGCTCCCCCTTGGCAAAAGCTCCCCCTTGGTAAAACCCCTCCCATTGGTAAAAAGTGTCTACAGGCCTGCATATCCCGAACAATCAACTGTCAAGCTTACTTTTTATAACATGGGAAATCCTCACTTCAGCAAGTCCAGCTGTGCCATTTATTTATGGTGAGCGCTGCATGTGATGATAAGGTAACAGAATTACATGTATGTCTGACACAATTGGTGATGCTTGCTCTTGATGTTCCAACATGTTGTCATCCCAAATGTCCGTTGACTTGTCCTCCATTCCTCTCAACTCAGCATAATTATAATTCTAAAAACACCTTCCGTCCGATTTGGAACTCTAAATTTTTAAATCTTTCACTTTCAGCCTGCTAGTAGTCACATTGAAATGAACAAGACACTTCTATGTCTGTGATATGAAACTTAAGTCTCTACATATTTACTGATGTAGTATATACATCAAATATACGAGGTTTATTGAATCTAGATCTAAATCTAAAATATATTTTCTTTTTCCTTTCGAGATCCATTGGAACAAACAAAATTGCACTCACGTTAGTTGCCCTTCCACTTCCGGGTAGGTACAGGGTAAGTCAATGAACCTGTCATTGATTATTTATATTCTAACGGCTCTCATGAGAATTAAAACCATTTTTCTTAAATTAAATAGTTTAACATTAAGAAAATTATTCAAATTGATACTGTTTAAATTGCAAAATAGACAAGTACTTTGACAGGGCTTTGTTTGTTTTGTATAAAACGGCACAATATTGGTTTCTCACTCTGTATAGTTTAAGAGGTCAATATGTCATGGTCAATTGTTCTAAAAATACAGCATCAAACATCACAAAAGTAAATACTTTTCCAATTAAGAATATAATCTTCAGCTGTGAATACATTTAAGTCTACATTATTCAGTTTTATAATGAGAAACATATGTTGAAAGTGATGACAACAAGTTTTACTTTAAATGACAAATCCGACGTCAAAACGAAATCAATATTTTTCACAAATTTTAAACATCATTTTCGAATAAAGTTTTATTATTTGTATTAACGTTTTATTTTAGAAAAAAATCGCTACAATATTTTGAAAAATATTGAATATACCACACGTAAAATTTGAGATTGATCTATAAAAAATTGACAAATTGTTACAGTTTTAAGCCAAAGAGGTACGCGACCAAAAATGGCGTAAAAATGAAAGCGAAACACGTCGTAGGGAATGCAGTCAATTTGCTTTCCTGATTTAAATGATATCTTGGTATATCCTCATTACATTTATTTCTCAAAATTGCATAATTTGAAACCCAAGAATAAATACAACAAATTGTGAAAATTTAAGACTCATTGAGAACGCACTTGTAAAACAAAAGCAAATTATATTCCTTGTTCACGTTATCCGAGAACGTCTTTGATGACGCCATAGCTCAAAAATGGCCATTTTTAAAAAGTGACTCACCTAACTTTGAGATTTACGGAAACTACATTGAAATGATCATAAATTCCCAATTTTTTCACATAAATTAAACCACATAAGGGAGTCAATATTCAGAAAGTTTCAGGAAAAAATATCCAAAACTGTATGATCGTTACAGTTTTTGCTAAAATGTTGAAAAAATAAGATTTTTTTGTCCAAAAAAAGTTGATCGGCCGGCGCGATTTTTCTACCTCCAATTCTTTTCAATGTGTGATTTAATTTAATTCATTCTATAGATCTAGATATAATCTACCATCCAACCAAATATCATAAAGATATGCAAGAATATGAATGCGCACGAGCCGCTCAACTTTTCATGTATACACTGAATTTTTTCTTGAGAATGCCGTCATAGAATATAGTCCCGCGGAAGACCTATTAAAATGAAATAAAACGTCCAATTGCAACTGCCGCGGGAATTCATCCGCCCAGACACGTGGATTCACAAAGTGTTGTTCTCAATGTGAACCAAATGAAAATGAATGAAGAAAATGTATTGTGATTCACTGAAAAAATATAAATTCAAATTATAAAATTATGTAGTGTCCGAAACAGATCATTAGTCCCTCAAAGCCTACAGCCCTATCAAGAGTGTCGATAGCCTCTTTACCAAATTACAATAATTGACCGGACGTAACCTTGAATTTACAAGTGAACTGGAGGCCACTGGAGTGTGGAAATAAAAGAAGCTTATTTTTCAAACTTGTAAAGGAGCATTTTATCAAAATATGGGTTACATCAGCTAAAATTACATTTCAGCTATTTTAAACAGATTAAATTAATAAAAATTGTCACCTTTAATTTTACAGGAAACGGCGATATTTCTGAAGAAGAATTTATTGGTTCGTGGAAGCGGGCGTTCGGTGGCAGCGACGACCAAGCTTTGTTAGTATTTGGTCAAATAGATAAAGATGGAAGTAAAAGTATTACAATGGATGAGCTCAGTAACCTATACAAAAGCATGGATGTAGATGGTAAACAGTTACACATATCATTTTCTCTATATACATTTTCACAAAATTGATAAAAAAGATGTCGCCAGTAATTTTGTCGGATATAACTTCACAATAGCCAATATGGAGCATAGATGTCTCAATCTTATCCGTAAAATTGATAAAAAGCTATCCATAAAAAGAGGTCTCTCGCATTCTTACATGAGATCCTTTCAAAATATTTCCATATTATTTTTGAAATAAAACGAAAGAAAATTTAAAAGTCTCTTAAATCCTCAACTAACATGGAAACTTGGAATTGCATAAAATCAGAGACATATAAAATATATGTCTATGTGTAGATTACTAAGTAAGTATTTCTATTATGGGTATATCCGTAATATTATAGTATAGTAATAAGCAAATGTTTTAATCTATTAAAAATGAGGGAGCTGTGAAATACGCTATGGTATTTTTGATCACGTGGTACTGAATCAGCCAATCAAATCACACGATTGCTAGCAATGATATAACTATCTTTAATATTGTATTACAGGTGATGGAACTATTACAAAGAAGGAGTTTATTGGAAAATGGAAGGAATTGCTTCGTTAAAAAAGGATGTTTGGTGTGTGTACATAGACTATGCAATTTATGATGGTAAGATGTAATGATGTTTGGTGTGTGTACATAGACTATGCAATTTATAATGGTAAGGTGTAATGATGTTTGGTGTGTGTACATAGACTATGCAATTTATGATGGTAAGGTGTAATGATGTTTGGTGTGTGTACAGATACTATGCAATTTATGATGGTAAGGTGTAATGATATCTGATGTGTTTATATAGACTATGCAATTTATGATGGTAAGGTGTAATAATGTTTGGTGTGTGTACATAGACTATGCAATTTATGATGGTAAAGTGTAATGATGTTTGGTGTGTGTACATAGAATATGCAATTTATGATGGTAAGGTGTAATGATGTTTGGTGTGTGTACATAGACTATGCAATTTATGATGGTAAGGTGTAATGATGTTTGGTGTGTGTACATAGACTATGCAATTTATGATGGTAAGGTGTAATGATGTTTGGTGTGTGTACATAGACTATGCAATTTATGATGGTAAGATGTAATGATGTTTGGTGTGTGTACATATACTATGCAATTTATGATGGTAAGGTGTAATGATGTTTGGTGTGTGTACATATACTATGCAATTTATGATGGTAAGGTGTAATGATGTTTGGTGTGTGTACATATACTATGCAATTTATGATGGTAAGATGTAATGATGTTTGGTGTGTGTACATAGACTATGCAATTTATGATGGTAAGATGACATGATGTTTGGTGTGTGTACATAGACTATGGAATTTATGATGGTAAGGTGTAACGATGTTTGGTGTGTGTACATATACTATGCAATTTATGATGGTAAGATGTAATGATGTTTGGTGTGTGTACATAGACTATGCAATTTATGATGGTAAGATGACATGATGTTTGGTGTGTGTACATAGACTATGCAATTTATGATGGTAAGATGACATGATGTTTGGTGTGTGTACATAGACTATGCAATTTATGATGGTAAGGTGTAATGATGTTTGGTGTGTGTACATATACTATGCAATTTATGATGGTAAGATGTAATGATGTTTGGTGTGTGTACACAGACCATGCAATTTATGATAGTAAGATGACATGATGTTTGGTGTGTGTAGATAGACTATTGAATTTATGATGGTAAGGTGTAATGATGTTTGGTATGTGTACATAGACTATGGAATTTATGATGGTAAGGTGTAATGATGTTTGGTATGTGTACATAGACTATGCAATTTATGATGGTAAGGTGTAATGATGTTTGGTATGTGTACATAGACTATGCAATTTATGATGGTAAGGTGTAATGATGTTTGGTGTGTGTACATAGACTATGCAATTTATGATGGTAAGGTGTAATGATGTTTGGTATGTGTACATAGACTATGCAATTTATGATGGTAAGGTGTAATGATGTTTGGTATGTGTACATAGACTATGCAATTTATGATGGTAAGGTGTAATGATGTTTGGTGTGTGTACATTATACATTATATTGCGAATGTCCATTAACTTGAAAATGATATTGACGCCAAAGCACCATCTATATTTGTAAGATATCAATAGATTTTCACAAATATAAAATGTATTTATTTATTTCAGATTAGAGATTGACAATGACTATAAATAATGTAAAGATACACGAACTAAGACGCTCAAAGGAATGCCAACAAATCCCGGACCTTCCAGGACAGTGATTAGATTTTGAATATACAAATGACTTGCCATGATCAAATACACACTTTCAGAAAATGAAAGAGGATACATTAATATTTCTAAATAACGTGTTAAGATTAAGGATTCTACGAGTGACATTTTTCAACAAATAGGTCGAGTCTTTGAGCTTTGTGCAATCACTCGTGATTATGCGAGTAACATGTCGCAACTCGTAACTCGTAACTACGCAATTTACATTTCTAGGCTTAAGAAATTACAATGTCTTAATGGTCTTCAAAATTGGATTTTATGTAGTCATTTTTAAGAAATAAATTAACTTAAAGTATAATATTTTAGTTTCTATATTTAAGCATGAAATAGTATATAATGAAATAAGAACGGGCTTATTCAAATAAAATGGTACCATCATAAAATTAGTACTTACCAAAAATTTGAAAAAGCCTTAGTTAAGTTTTAATGTCCTGTTTAAGAACACCATTCATACATTTGAAAATGGATTCTAGTAATACTATCCCATATGTACTTGTTGAAATCTTCTGAGAAAATGAAGATTTGTATCTATTCCTATGGTGACACACATGATGGTATACCGATAGTAAGCCAATAGCCAGTAGTGTATATCCCAATGTTAAATCAATACACCATTGCTGAAATCCACATTTTCTCAGAAAAACTTATGTTGATCGAGTTTCAACAAGTAGATTCATGTTGGATAGTATTGCTAAAATCAATTTTCAATAGTAAGAAAAGGGGTTCTTAAACAGGATATTGGGCTCCTTTTTTAGAACTGTTTTTGTTGGCTCTAAATACCAAACATTAAACCACGGTTTAATGGCCATCCAAGGCCAAATCAACATTATTGAACATGATGTGTGATGGACCCATCTTCCTGCCTAATTGGTATCCAAGAAAAACTCAAATATTTATTAAAAGTATGAGGTTTTTGGAAAATTTAGATGAGAAAAGAATGTTAGGATTCAATTACACATGTGCATCTTTTGCTTTTAAGATAATATCTCGCCTTCTGACAACAGGCGATATTACGCATTGGAATCAATTCTATTGTTTGAATAACGTACGAACTATTTAACCTTCACAATCAGTAATTAAGTTGGCCTTCAAAATCCAAGGTGTGCTTCTAATTAATTAAAGGAGGGCCAATGGCGTTTTTCAATTGTAGGTCATTGTGTAAATGACGTTATACGAGTAATCTGTAAAAGCTTGAATTTTGGTACGTGGGAATATTGTAAAGGAAAGGTAGTTGGCATTTAAAATCGAAGATGTGTTCCTAATAATCCAAAGGCGTATGGGTGTCGTATCGTTTTAATATGTACATGTACATATACAGGGTGTCTCAAAAAATGTACCCAAAAGTATATCAAGAGCACAGATAAACCAATCAATATTTTCAGACATTTTTTGCATGGTCATGTAGCCAAAACATGAAAGTTTTCTCCCCAATACACCATTTTTATTTCAGTCACGTCTTTTTGATGCTTTAACCCTTTACCTTTTACACTACATAATCGATGGAACCTCATATTTCAATGACAGCCTGTATCCTTACTGCTACATTGTTCATCACATTTGATGATAATTCAGGTGGAATGTTTTGGATTTCTCTTTGGATGTTGCCCTTAAGTTGTTCTAGGTCTTTTTGCTTGGAATGACCATTAAAACACTCCTTCAAATAGCCACAGAGAAAGATGTTTGAGGATGACACTGCCAGAACAAATACAGATAATCAGGTCAATTATCGGCAAATGATTCAGGAGTTACCTTTCAGAGTTAGGCAGGCTAAGCTGGAGACCAAATGATATCCAAATGAAAACACAGTGGTCTCAAATTGATACACACAACAAAAGCTACACTAGAATCCCAACCAATGCAGTTTCTTGAACCTCTGACCTCTCTGTATAAGGGGGCTATAAGACATTGTAAGGGTCTCCCTATTCACCATATTTGACGGTCCATACTTTTTCCTCTGAGGCTATTTGAAGGACCATTTTTATGCTAAACCCAAGCTAAGAGACCTAGAACAACTTAAGACCAGCATCTGAACAGAAATCAAAACATTCCACCAGAAATATCAAATGTGATGAACAATGTAGTAGTAAGGATGCAGACTGTCATCGAAATATGAGGTTACATTGAATATGCGGTGTAAACCGTAACGGGTTTAAGTATCAAAAAGGCAAGACTGAATTAAAAACTGTGTATGGGGGAAAAAACTTTCATCTTTTATCTACAAGACCATGCAAAAAATGTCTGAAAATATTGATTGGTTTATCTGTGCTCTTGATATACTTTTGGGTACATTTTTTGAGACACCCTATATACATGTAGGGTTGGCCAACATCTGTCGAGTTTATTTTCCTTCTGACTGTTATACTCTTAGATGTTTTCATGTTCTGTTCCTGTATGTTTGATCCTTTCCTTTTGGTTTTGAAAACATTTTCGATGGAGATGCTCCAATCACTTTTGCAGATGTTCCTGAAATAAGATGAATTATATTAATTTCTAATTAAACAGTCTTCACCACAAACCACACAACATAATATCACATATATTATAGGATTAAATTCGAGCCAGCAGCCCGCGTTTATTGGAATAGCGTAAAGCACATCTGATACAAAGAATGAGTGAAAAAATGAAAAAATGTAGCCAGTTCGCGATGCAACCAGGTACCTATGACGGCCACGATGCCAATGTCATAGCGGCCACGATGCCGATGGCATTAATGCCAAAAACCTCTTAGGTTCAAATATACCCAACATCCGTCCATCGTCGCTTTCCACTGGGTCTAGAGGTCTGAGGTAGGAACAATCGAAACCTTGTGAATCAAGATGACATCCGTCCTCGGCTCCCAACCTCGCTGCTGATTTACGATGTTAACTGCCTTCAAGACATCAATAAGGCACCGTGTACCTAATTAAACATCTAAATCCAACAACCCATATCCAATGATCAACTGTCATTAAAGCCATTGTGGCTACACGTTTGTTAACACGTCAAAGATCTCGAATAAATTCACAAATTTCGGAATAAACCAAATTCTAAATTGTGACTGTATCTGTCAACTTACACTATAAAAAACTTGTATAAGGACCATACACGTAGTGCCTTCTAGCACTATGCAAAATCTGCGAGTAATATACCTCACTATCTAATACAGTAATCACACACTGTCATTAATACATAACAATAATCTAAATCACGGTCTACAGACTTGCACTGTAACCATAACATTGCCTTTTGGCAAAACACGTAACTCAGAAGGTTAATGAAACTTCCTTCCTTAATAGACTGTCGTAATATGCGACACTGTTGGTCACAAAATACAAAAATCCCGTGATTATCACAGGAATACACGACCGGACTACAAAAATCATACGATCTTCTAAAACTATTGTGATGAACAATATAATATCTGGAAAGCACCATGCTTTGCAAACCCTAATACAAACTGATCTCGTATTGCAACAAAAGCAAAAGTACAATTCTTCGAAACGTTGTAAATCTAAATACTATCTGTTTAATATAAAATGCAATTAGCTGACAAGCACTTCTCTCAATGCGTTTGTAACACTGATATAACACAACTACTGTAAATGTTGTTAAGGAACACAACTATCATCTTAAAATACCAAAATTGATGCCCTTCTGGAAATAGATATTACATATCTAAAAATATGAAGGACTTTCGGATATAATCAATATCTTTAAAAGCAAAACTTTGTGCCTTCCTTGAAACAATATGACAGAGACGCACTTAAATACATATTTATTCACTTAGATTCAATGCGCTGTCAGTAAAAACCCATGCCTTGAGTTTCAGATTTACATGCACATTACATAATTGCTTCTTAGAAACCTAATATCTAAATGTTTTAATTAACTTAATATCCTATGCTATGCAATGCTTTGTAATAATTGCAGAAAAATATACTTCCCAAAATAGCAATTATTTGGAACAGGTTACATCAACGTCAGAACACGTGTACTTCATTCAAAAACGTTGATTTGGTCAATAGCACTAAAGAAAGTGTTCGTTGACTTCAATATGAAAAACTTTAGTTTATCGACCTGACACCGTTAAAACCCAGATCAAAATCTTTGTGACTTTCGAAAGGGAAAAAGGTATGCCTCCTCGAACAATAAAACTAAATTTTCGAATCCGTTGTATGACAACTTACAACATTAACTAAAACTGTGTATAAACTCTTCGGTTGCTACTCGCAGAATAACACGATCCCATCGTGCATCCACTCACATAATCTACTCATGATCACATCATGTTATCCAATCAGTTGAAATCGCGTTCGATTTCACTAACGCTAAGGCGTTATATCAACCGGAAATAAAATAATTCAACTCTAATTTCAAACGTGTTGAATTTTAATTGAGTGGTGTCACGTAATCATGTTATTGTTTGTAATCCGGATGGATTGGCAAGTCATACTGAACCCTGATTGTGTACGGGGCCCGCCATATTAGAAATAAAGTTAATGCATGTATCCAGAATTATCTTATATTTATTGGATTGTATAAAGGTTTAAGACAAGGGGATTCTGAATAACAAAGATTAACGGACATTAGGTGTTTAAATGAAAATATACAATTCTCGGGACAATATTTGTAGAAACAATTTTCAATGATATTAGTCAAAAGTACACACTACCAGAGAAACAGAGTGGCTTTTTGGATGCATTCTGAATTATTTCCAGGGGAAACGAAACATTAGAAATAAGAAGTAAGATCCGGATGAACTTTGCATGAACTTGGCAATTAATTGTTGCGTTCAAACATGTTATTCAATCTTTTAGCATCCTGGATGCTTAAGTTATAGCCTGTTTAAACTTGAATATGATTAATCAGATGAGTACAATTTGTTTAGGTATTAAAAAATTGCAAATTAGTAGGGTGCCCCGGACTTAAAATAACAGTCAAGTCTGTATATAAATTGAGATGGTAGAAAAACCCCTAAAATGCTCAAATCGAGAATTTGATGAATAAAACAAGTCAGCTACAGATCGGATTTTGAAGTGAGTACCATTTTCCAGATCGAGGAATATGAAATAAACAAGAACTTTTATTTTTCTACTTTCAGGGTCTTCATTGCATCGCCTCGGCTCTAGTAGCATACAATGATTTCAAATGATAATGAACTGATTATGAAGAGGTGAAAATTCAAACAAACACGCAAATGATTACACAATAATCAAGTAGCGATGATTAAATTTTGCTTTTCAGGTTGTTTCATAATATAGAACGGGTATAGAACTGCAGTTATAAAAAACTTTTTGACCACATGGAAACATAACAACATTAGTTGAGGCGAGAATAGTAACTACCTACACTAACGAAATAGTGAATATTTTTCACATTTCTTTGTCAATATTCACAAACTATGATTCAACACATATATTAAACTATCAAATTATTTCGATTTAAGTGTCGGAATAACGTTTCCCAAAAATTGAAGGTGACAGTACGGAACTGCCTTAATACTACGCATTTGCTAATATGGCCCTCCGAATAGTATAGTTTCCATATAGCTTTTGAAATCTCGCTAAATCTCGTTTTTCGTGAGATTTCAAGAGACTTGCATATTAGACCTCTAATGACTTACATTACCTTCTTTTAAATGGCATATTTGAATCCAGTGAAATGTTTTCTCCTATAATAGCTTTGATTTACACAGTTATGTAATTTGAATAATTTTCTATAACAATTTAAAAAAACTTGGGCCAAATGTCCATAGATGCAATGCTAAAATTCTTTAAATCCGTGGATTATTTGTATGTCAATCAACATTTGCATGTTTAATCACAACATGTACATAAACAGGGTCATCATGTGGTATATCATTCAAGTTTTATACAGATTCAACAAACACGCTTTGATAAATCATGAAATTAAGCAATTTTTTCAAGATTTTAGCATGTAAATGAATGGAGCTCTAGCCCGAGTTAAAAGCTGAATAAAAGATGGCAGCACGAGATTTCATTGATTTTTCTGCAATTTAGAAACTATCCTATTATAAATAAGTACCTTTTATGCCTCAGACGACGACGAAATAAGGAACTCCTCACGACTTTTATGATAGCAACCATTATGCTATACCTCCAGTCGACGACGAAAATCACCTTGATGAGGATCGGCGTTGAACCAGATATATCAAAAGACAACAGAGCTCTCGAGGTAGGATGAAGGAAAATATTTCATAACTATCACCGGACTCAATTTACATTATGAGAATGATTGTCACTATATCCAAGCGTATTATTGAACATGTCAAACGTTTTGTACAAAACTGCTCTTAATTTTTTCAAAAAATATTCACATTTATATATTATTAAATTCAATGAGTATACAATTTTACTTGCAGATATCGCTTACAACAGAGTTGTACTCCGTTAACAAAACTACACAAGCTACACGCCTCACTCCCAGCGTACACGCCCAGCTACAACTTATTTCAATATGTGACAATAACAACATCTCTCTGGTCCTTCTTGACCCGAGACTTCTCAACAACAGCATGGAATCAACTCATAACCTAAAGGAAGCGCTCATTAACAAACCCCTAGTCTCATATGGCATCAATCGTGAAGATTTGGCTGGACCCAAATTGGTAAATATATATGCCGGCCCGTAGCGGGGGGAGCTTGCCAGGAATTCTTTGAAAATCAAGCAGTTTTCACCATTCTGAGCACTTTTCGCATGATTTTTTAGCCAAAACTGTCAAAACTCCCCCTTTGGCAAAGCCTCCCCCTAGATAAGGCTTGCTATGGACAAGGTACATATCATAATTTCTTCCCCGTAAAGTATGACAATGAGTGGATTCTCGAAGTGTCTTAAGCAGGTTGAAATTAGATTGAATATTTACCAAGAGTTTGATGTAACATAGTAACAATTTTTGAAAGTTATTTCATTTATTTTTTAATTTTTGAAACAAAATTGTATTTTAACTATTTCTCTTCCACGTCACTCAGTTCATCCAATTTGCGGTCGTGACTCAAGCAAACTTCATTCTAACAACGTAAAATTCTATTTTTTGTAGGAAAAATTCTACCACGCACTAGAGGGTAACAAATACCAAGTTTCCCTCTTAAAAGATGGAGACAAGCAAGTATATCATATATTCTTAACAGTGCCATCTATGAGCCAGTGGATCCACTTAGCCATTATATATCACAGACACGGTAGCTTTTATTGGATGGGGCCTTTAAATGTTGAGACAACAGGCAAGAAACACCCACCAGTGAGGAGCATTAGTTTCCCAGCTGCATTTAAGAGGTAAGTGTGTAGTAGTATCACATAAGGTGTAAACGTCAATTCTCACACATAGCAACGTATATATAAAATATCGTAAAGACTGAAATTCAACCAGGTCAGCATTTTGATCTCCACAAGCACCCAATTAATTATTTCAATATTCATTGAGACTTAAAAGTAATTTGAAGTAATTCCCTTGAGCAAAGTCACAAAATGCTGCCTAAATACTAAATAATAAAGTAAATAGCATTCATATCTCTCGGATAATAACAAACACTTATATCTAAAAAAAGAAATAGTAAAATGACTGAAAATGGCGTGGAGTAAATAATCATATGCGACAAGGAGCTCGGATTTCTATTGTTTTTCAGTCTTACTGTAACTAAGAGTGCCATCCCTGGATTGTATTTACCAGCATCTATCTCCAAATATCTCAGTCTCCAGTTAAGAACATTCCAAGTTAATCGATTGTTGTATTTCCAGTCTTACAGTAACTAAGAGTGCCATCCCTGGAGTGTATGTACCAGCATCAACCTCCATGTATCTCTAAAGCTTAGAACATTCCAAGTTTATCGCTTGTAATATTTTCAGTCTAACAGTAACTAAGAGTGCCATCCCTGATTTGTATGTACCAGCATCAACCTCCATGTATCTTTACAGTTTAGAACATTCCAAGTTTATCGCTTGTGTAATATTTTCTGTCTTACAGTAACTAAGAGTGCCATGCCTGGATTGTATGTACCAGCATCAACCTCCATGTATCTCTAAAGCTTAGAACATTCCAAGTTTATCCCTTGTAATATTTTCAGTCTTACAGTAACTAAGAGTGCCATCCCTGGAGTGTATGTACCAGCATCTACCTCCATATATCTTTACAGTTAAGAACATTCCAAGTTTATCGCTTGTAATATTTTCAGTCTTACAGTAACTAAGAGTGCCATCCCTGGATTGTATGTACCAGCATCAACCTTCAAATATCTCAGTCTCCAGTTAAGAACATTCCAAGTTTATCGCTTGTAATATTTTCGGTCTTACTATAACTAAGAGTGTCATCCCTGGATTGTATGTACCAGCATCAACCTCCAAATATCTCAGTCTCCAGTTAAGAACATTCCAAGTTTATCCCTTGTAATATTTTCAGTCTTTCTGTAACTAAGAGTGTCATCCCTGGATTGTATGTACCAGCATCAACCTCCAAATATCTCAGTCTCCAGTTAAGAACATTCCAAGTTTATCGCTTGAAATATTTTCAGTCTTACAGTAACTAAGAGTGCCATCCCTGGATTGTATGTACCAGCATCAACCTCCATGTATCTTTACAGTTTAGAACATTCCAAGTTTATCGCTTGTGTAATATTTTCTGTCTTACAGTACCTAAGACTGCCATCCCTGGATTGTATGTACCAGCATCAACCTCCATGTATCTTTACAGTTTAGAACATCCAAGTTTATCGCTTGTGTAATATTTTCAGTCTTATAGTAACTAAGGGTGCCATGCCTGGATTGTATAGACCAGCATCTACCTCCAATTATCTCTCCAACGTAGAACATTCCAAGTTAATCGCTTGTAGTATTTTCAGTCTTTCTATTACTATGAGTGCCATCCCTGGCTTGTTTGTACCAGCATCTACCTCCAAGTATCTCTCCAGTTTAGAACATTCCAAGTTAATCGCTTGTAATATTTTCAGTCTTATAGTAACTAAGAGTGCCATCCCTGGATTGTATGTACCAGCATCAACCTTCAAGTATCTCTCCAGTTTAGAACATTCCAAGTTTATCGCTTGAAATATTTTCAGTCTTACAGTAACTAAGAGTGCCATCCCTGGATTGTATGTAACAGCATCAACCTCCAAGTATCTCTCCAGTTAAGAACATTCCAAGTTTATCCCTTGTAATATTTTCAGTCTTGCTGTGACTAAGAGTGCCATCCCTGGATTGTATGTACCAGCATCAACCTCCAAGTATCTCTCCCGTTTAGAACATTCCAAGTTTATCCCTTTTTACCAAACCAGAGCTGCTGAGTTTAACACGGCCAATAAACTGTCCAAAGCGGCCCAAGTGAAAGCAAACAAAACTGCTAATAAGGCGCGGGAGATATTGCGAGCCACAAAAGATGTGTTGGATAAAGTTGGCATGAAGTTTTGGTTGACTGATGGCACGCTGCTAGGTAAGTCTGTAAATAATACACATCGATTCTGAATGGTGCAGACATAACGCTTTATTTGTAGGTTGGTACAGAGAATGTTCCTAAATTTATTGAATAGTACAGATAATATGGCTTTTTGATAGAATGGTGTAGACAGCGTGCCTTTATATCGCAAACAATGCGCCTTATTTTGTAGAACAGTGCAAAAAACGTGCCTTGATTTGTACAGTGGTATAGACAATGTGACTCTATTGAAAGAGTTGTGCAAACAATGTGGCTTTATTGGTGGGATGGTGCAAAAATGGGCCTTTATTTGTAAATGGTACATATGGTATAGAATGCCATGCTTATATAGTGGTACAAATGAAGTTGCTATATTTGCAGGATTGTAAAAATCTGTATATTTTTTGTAGGGTGGTACAGACAGTGTGATTTCATTGCACACACCAATGATGTCGATGTTGGGACCTGGATCACAGATTTTAATCCCGACTTAGAAAAACTTCTTAAACGCCGGGGACAACCAATCAGGATTTTGTACCACTATGGCAAGGTCAGACTAACCAACCAGGTTCTTGTTATCACTATTGTTCCCCGTTATATTCTAACCAGTGATGGTCATATTTGCGATCTGGATGAATATATCATACTCACCTGTGGAATATAGCATATCGATCGGATGAGTTGGTATATTCCACAGTTAGTATGCTAAACATTGGTTTCAGTGAATACGCGATACTCGTGGTCGTGGAATATGTCGAACTCACTTGTGGATTATGCCATATAACGCAGGTGAGTATGACATATTCCGCAAGTGAAAGCATGATACAGATGGCCTCGATTGGTAGAGGGAATTTACATATATTAAATGCGATTCGAGCCCATAAATATGGATCCTTGAGTGATAAAGTTTATTACGTTTGATTGCTGAGTCATACTTCTGTGAGTATCTGTAAATCGTGATTGGCAATACCATCTATATATTCACCTGTAGAATATGACCTATATTTGGAGTTGTACCGTGTCCAACCGCCGCACAACTATATCATGGCTAGTTTTTGTCTGCTTCTTGTCTGTTGTTGTTTTTGTCGCATTTTATTACATTTTGGATAATTAGTAATTCTGTGTTCATTTAATATTGAGGCACTTTGCATTTCTTATTTCGGTTTATATTGTATTTTCAGCCGTCAGATGGATTCGAGTTAACAGTACAAGGATTCGACATGAAGTTGGATATACAATTCAACTACAAAGACGCGAATCACACATGGACTGGTGGACTTATTTCTACGTCATTACAAAAAGTGCGATGGATTTATCCTCTAGATATTCCCCTTTGCTCAGCTGAGTTATTCGACGATCTCTACTTTGTGCCATGTGACACTGTAGCTATTATAGAGGCAAATTATGGGCCTACTTGGATGCTGCCTGACAAAAAGTGGATCTGGAACAAGTCTGCTCACAATCTGGTCGAAGCAGGGAAGTTTTCAGAATCAGACAGAAAAGAAGTCGTACAAATATTTTTGTAAGAAAAGTCAAACAAGCAAACTAGTGGTAACGTGTAAGCTTAACGGCCATAAAACCGTGATGAATCGAATCTGAGTTCAGAAACTGACTAGAACATTAAACTGGCTGTATAATGCTGCCCTCTTTAAGTAGCGATAAAAGCTTTAGACACTATAAGTTTCTGGTAATCCACTCAATTACGCTGGTTGATGCAGGAAAGCAAGCAAATTAGTGTTTGCGTGCCGAATGCCTATATTAGTCCATTGTATGAAATCTCTAGGACGTCTAATAAAGGACCTACATATGTTCGCTAATAATTTTTTTTATTACCGTTAAACATACTTCCGGCTTTTAGGCTGAATTGTGCCTGTCATTAACAGAGGTCAAAAAATTACCAAAGAATAAAATCCCAATGTTTCACAATTTGGAGTACACAACGCAACAGAAAATAATACAAAATGATTTTACATATATGATTTAGTTTTGTAAGCTATAAGTTTGAGGTTATTTTGCTTATCAATACCAAAAAATTATGTAACCAGTGTATCGACCTTTTGTATTGTTTCTCAGGTATTAATTAAGATAGATGCTACAAATGAATCACTGTTATATTAGAATGACAAATGCTTAAATTATGCTAGTTTTTCACAAAATGTGTCTCAATACGTTTTGAGATATGGACTCTTAATCCACGGTGTACATGATCAATAAAAGAGGGCCTATTGCTCTTCCTTGACTAATTGGGACTACAGCTAAAATTCTATTTCTCGTGGTTAGATATAGCTCAGATGCTTATAAAACAACCAATAAGACTTGGTCGAATTCATGAATATTTGAAAAAAAAATCGTTGTCATCATCGTCCTAAAATTTGATGATATCCAGCGGTAAGGTCAAAGAAGAAACAACCATAATAAAACTTGTTGATAGCCAGCAGTAACGTCGAAGAAGAATTGTAAGGCGTTGGATTGCATATGACTCTAATTGATTATTAGACATGCCCTTGGAATATATGGACATTCCAATACCTCTGTAACATTTAATTAGATATAAATTTTACATATTTGTAATTGTATTATGTTTTATTAAACATGAACAATAATTTGTTGTTTGACCCCTTCCAATTTATGGAAAAATTCTGGTAATAAAATGTTTTAAATGGTAAGCAAACTTATATGTTCCCATGTATAAATTACCTAAATATTTTACACAATTTTGTTGAATCTGCTTGGCTCATATTTGAAAAATTAAACAAAATCTGAAAAACACACTTGCGTAATTACACTAATTAAACACGGACATCTACAGTAAAATTATAGTATATTTGCACATTATCATAATCTAATTTTTGTTCGTATGCTTAGAATAACGGTCTGTGTCTTATAAAACATATAAAAGTTCGAATCAAAATGTTTACGTTTTTTGACCCCTTGTGATGAAATACATTTTTCGACCTGAAAGCCGGAAGTTTTTTCAGCAAATGGTATTTTAAAAGAATCAAGACATGTACACTTTCATAAATATTGCTTCAAATATTGCTGCACTATAGTGTGCTACGGATCCTTCATATTCAGAAGTCATACCATGGACTATATATGTTAAAGTAGTGAATCGAATCTAAGTAACACCCCAGTCACATTTCCTACGGCGACCTTGCGGTCTATCATTTCTGCGGCCAGTAACATTTCTACGCTCGCCGTGGAATTTCTGCGCTCTCATACTTTTGCAGTCACATTTCCCACGGCAGTCGCACGGTGAATTTTAAATTTCTGTTGATAAATAATACTTTTTTCATTTTATTTACATCGGGGACAATTTATAAATGTTATTCATAGTGCTAGAAGGTAATACAGAGATTTCGCACATACGTGAAAGTCAACTTCACGGGGTACCATCGAATAATTTTGGCAACGTACCGGAGAACGACATTTTACTAAGAAATGGCAATAATTTAGCACAATATATTTTTTAACTAGAGTTCTATTTTGATTTTGACAAAAGTAAGTATTCCATGCAATGACTATTTCATTCATGAGTTTGTGAGAATTCTGTTGAAACCCAGTTCTGATCAAGTTATTGAAATCGGCGCAGACGGACTTTACTCCGAAAGATGGTTTTTCGATTATAACTTTTCACAACATTAAAGTATAGACTTTTGAAAAAGTACAGAATAGTCCTTATACTTTTGAATAATTCTGTTATTTCTGATTCACACGACTCTGATTTGTTTAATTAAAAAAAAGTTTTAAAAATATTACTTAGGAACGTAACCGGAGCTGGGAACGTAACCGGAGCAGATCAGTTGAATTATTTAATCAAAAAATTAAAATATATTATGATTTAAAGCACATATACTAATTTAAAAACATACGGGATTGTTCGATGCGTATTTATTTATATATATGCTTTAAATCATATATTTTATTTTTTTAAATTATATAATTCAACTGATCTGCTCCGGTTACGTTCCCAGCTCCGGTTACGTTCCTAAGTAATATTTTTAAAACTTTTTTTTTAATTAAACAAATCAGAGTCGTGTGAATCAGAAATAACAGAATTATTCAATAGTATAAGGACTATTCTGTACTTTTTTCAAAAGTCTATCCTTAAATGTTGTAAAAAGTTATAATCGAAAAACCATCTTTCGGAGTAAAGTCCGACTGCGCCGATTTCCATAACTTCGTACTTGATCAGAACTGGGTTCCAACAGAATTCCTACAAACTCATGAATGAAATAGCCATTGCATGGAATACTTACTTTTGTCAAAATCAGAGTAGAACTCTAGTTAAAAAATATATTATGCTAAATTATTGCCATTTCTTAGTAAAATGTCGTTCTCCGGTACGTTGCCAAAATTATTCGATGGTACCCCGTGAACTTATAACGTATACTTATACTTATAGGTAAACGTACAAGGTGTTTCATAATGTGGGCTTTCCGTCAGGAAAGATCTTCTCGGACTATAATAAATAAAGGTCAAAGGGATGCCATTTGTACTTTCTTGAATTGTAGCATGTTTAGTTGATCCAAATGTGTTTGTCTAGAATAAAATAGGCTCATATATAGTACATATGTTATAGGCCCATCTCTTCTCAAATTGGCTTTTTGGAGATGTTCGTTATGAAACACCCTGTATGTCATTTGTTGAGCTACTGAATGGATCGTTTCCAGTAATTGCTAGAACCTACTGGTTTGATTGGTGTTTCAAATTGATGGTTAAAGTATTTGATTGGATACTGTTCCTACTCAGCCAATTAATTTTAAAAAATGCTTGCGGTCAATTGTTCCACACACATGTAGGTTAAGCTCTATACGGAGATCCAACTGTATACGTTTATCATCTCGTATATATACCGTTTTGTAAGTTCTTTGAACTTATACTGATCATGAAAACTTTGAAATAATCAACTTGTTTATTTAATGACTCACTCTAAAGGACTATGCGTCACTTTAAAGGATCTTGTTTATAATACACTACAACTACTAGGACACGGAAGCAAGCATTTAATTATAACTTTGCATAATCTACATGTGCAGATGATAGTGCATTCACAGTCTCTAGTTGATGGAGCTTTTCTATATCGGGAATAGTTATGTTCCATTAAGTACAATTTAAAATTGATTTTAGTAAATATAATAGTTCGACATGACCCTTTAAAGTATACGTATACGTATAAGTTGTACTTTCACTTATGTGCGAAATCTCTCTATTATCACATGAAAAGAGTTTTCCTACGCTCGCCGCGGAAATACACTGATTTAATTGATCTGCGGTCGACGCACGCCCTCCGTACGACAAATGTGACTGGGGTGTTAATAACGTTCAGGTATGACTAGACAGAAAAATAAGTAATACAAAAAGTTGTAGTTATCATATATTGAATATATAAAAGAAAAGTTATCACAGAGCAAAAATAAATAAAGGAAGAAAAAGTAAACGTTCAGTCAGCCTAATAAGTCTTTTATTGAAGCTTCAATAAATTGACCCCAATTTCATTCCAAGTCCAGATCAAATCGTTCCCTTCATCTTAATGGGGACAAGGATTTCTAAACTTTTGAGGGGAATGTTTGTTCTATCTAAATATTTCAAAGCCTGTTCGAGTAAGATGCAGTCATATAGTTTTTACAACTTCCCTCTCACACCATACGGTTCAAGAATTTGTCCACAACCCTTTTCCTTCAGATTTAGATTATATTTAGATTTATTAACTTTACTTCACCTATATATGTTTCTTGAAAATGGAAAAATAAGTGAATTATAGATAGTGGTTTAAAGACGTCATCATAGCGGTTCGGCATGTACCCTTGCGTCCAGCCGTTGAGAACCTGGCGAGAATGATAAGCTAGAACTCCAAGAGCACTGTAAGCACGGTACCAGGCCGGAGAGAGGCCGCCAATGGACACGGCATAGAACAGTTTAATCCGGTCAAAAATACAAACAAAAACAATACAGCCGTCGCTGAATCATCACAGTGTTGGACTCTCCATAAACGGCATGGGCCCGTTCAGCCCAAACAACCTAGTTTGACAGTTCCATAACTAAAAACATACTGAGTATTTCCCATCACACATTTCGCTATAACGAAACAATATGCGGGAAATCAAAAAAATTGTCAATGAAAAAACAAAAGTCGTCACAATTAAAAGGTTTCGTAAATCTACAAGGAAACGGTTATGGATTGAGTACGAGATGGTTTCAAGTGATTTAATTACAGGTGCAAAACTAGTAGAGGAGTTTCCATATATCTTTAAATCTGACTTATTCTCGTTTTCCGATGAAATTTTAAGAGATTTGCATTTTTAACCTCTTACAACTAATTTTCTTTCGTTTTAAAGGCATATTTGAATTCAGTGAAAGGTTTTCCACAATTATGACTTTCATTTATACAGTGTCATTTCAATCATTTACCATGTCGTTTTAAAAAAACCTGGACCATCTCTCCATTGATGCAGTGCTATTATTAGCTCACATGGTGAGCTTTTGCAATCGCTCACTTGTCCGTCTGTCAGTCTGTCTGTCCGAAATTTTTCAAGATGGCCGCCGCTTTAAAAATAACGGGACTTTTTCGTAAAAATCATAAATGTTTCATTCTAAACCAAAATAATTAATATTATTGTTTGAAATTTTGGTGGTGTATTCGCAACATCTATCTATTTCACATATACTCCGTGTTTTTCATCCTGACCCCCAGGGGCCGTGTATGGGGGGTCAGGAAAACAGAAATTTTCGCTAATTTGTAGATCTTTCTGAAGTATAGCTTTATTATACTCAAATGAAAGGCAATTAAGAGTAGATTGCAAATATTGTATCTTTTTTCTGATTCGAGCCTCGTAAAATTCAAAATGGCCGTCTAATGTACGATTTCGCAATAATTTTTCGATCCCTTCAAAGTATGGCTGTATAATACTCAAATTGAAGGAATTTTGGAGTAGATCACAATTATGGTATTATTTGTCAGATTTGTACCTCAGAAAATTCAAAATGGATTTTTTCAAGATGGCCGCCGCTTTAAAAATGACGGGACTTTTTCGCAAAAATCATAAATTTTTCATTCTAAACCAAAGTAATTAATATTATTGTTTGAAATTTTGGTAGTATATTCGCAACATCTATCTATTTCACAAATATTCTGTGTTTTTCATCCTGACCCCCAGGGGCCGTGTATAGGGGGTCAGGAAAACAAAAATTTTCGCTAATTTGTAGATCTTTCTGAAGTATAGCTTTATTATACTCAAATGAAAGGCAATTAAGAGTAGATTGCAAATGTTGTATCTTTTTTCTGATTCGAGCCTCGTAAAATTCAAAATGGCCGTCTAATGTACGATTTCGCAATAATTTTTCGATCCCTTCAAAGTATGGCTGTATAATACTCAAATTGAAGGAATTTTGGAGTAGATCACAATTATGGTATTATTTGTCAGATTTGTACCTCAGAAAATTCAAAATGGCTGCTTTGCAGGAATTCGCAATTGTAAAATCTAAATTTTTCAATTTTAACCAAAGTAATGAGTATAATTGATTGGAACTCGTTAATTGATTTGAACTCGTTAATTGATATTTTGTTCGTTGGGATTTGCTACTCCGCGGAGTTGCCATTATCTAGTTCACTTTTGACCCATTTCCTAGCTTTACAAATAATTTCAGGTGTCCTACATTGTAAAAATCTGTGTCAATGTAAAGAGTAGATATATGAAATAATTTTGTTACAAAAAATCAGCGAAAAATTATATCTATTTTTTTATTTTCAGCCATTTTAGTTAACATTGATTTGTCCATCTGACTTGTGAAATCCACTTTTCCGTCAACAACAGTGGCACGTTTTAAAACCTCTGTCGATAGGATTCCTGTTTTAAGTTATTTCTGTTCAACATCAATACCGAAAACTCCCCTATGACTCCTGGCTCAAAAGCTCGCCTATTTTCAAAATGGCCGCCATTTTTGTCTCGCGAAATTAACTTTTGACCTATTTCCTAGCTTTACAAATAATTTCAAGTGTCCTACATTGTAAAAATCCATGTCAATGTAAAGAGTAGATGTATGAAATAATTTTGTTACGAAAAATCAGCAAAAAATTATATCCATTTTTTTTAATTTCAGCCATTTTAGTTAACATTGATTTGTCCATCTGTCTCGCAAAATCCACTTTTGGACCATTTGCCTTAAACCCTCTGTCGATAGGATTCCTGTTTTAAGTTAATTTTGTTCAACATCAATACAAAAAACTCTCCTATGACTCTTGGTTCAAAAGCTCGCCTATT